TTTTTTTTTTTTTTTTTTTGTTCGTTTTCAAATACAACCGACCAAAAACATTTGAAGTACACACAAACACACAAACTTACACTAAGTTTGTGTTGCTTATTGGAAAACAATAACGAAGAATTTAAAGTATGCAATGTTTCATCTGCCTAAGAACAACATCAATCTAACATTATATCTTTAGCAAAAATAATGAAAAGAAGTTCCAAATAAAAGTAAAAAAGGTGCTGTGACAATGAAAAGAAATAACTGTTAAAAGTTAAAAAATCCAATAAAATACTATTCGGTATGCTACAAAATAATAATAATAATAATAATAATAATAATAATAATAAGTATTAGTTATTGGTATTACTGTTATTATAATATCATTGATATAATAATAATAATAATAATAATAATAATAATAATAATGAATAATAATAATAATAATAATAATAATAATAATAATAATATTCAGAGTTAATGCTATCAACTTACTTGCATAAAATTTGCCTCACCGTTCGGAATTGTTGGTATATAAAAGTTGTCGTAATGAATAAAATTCAATGGCGAAATTTTGGCTTACAATAAGTTCATTGACATCAATTCTTCTTCTTTTTTCTTTCAAATATTCCTGAAAAAAAAAAAACTAAAACTTAGCAATAAAAACAAAACTTTCTTTTTCTTTTTGCCCTACAACGATCAACAATTATAATCAACGATCAAAAAAAAAAAAAAGAACACAAATACATCAGAAGAAACGAGGAAAAATAAGGAACAAAATATAAAATAAACAAATAGTATTCAAAGATAATAAGTACCAAAAAAAAAAAACTAACAAAATTTTTATGTATAATAATAAACTTCTGACAACTGTTTTTATAGCACCAATTTTGGACTCAATCGGTTTTAGGGTCGCTATTCTTCTAACTTCAATTTTAATGCCAAATTTATTCACCTTTTGCTTGCTTTCGCTTTACAAAAAATGTCCGGTCAGCTCCCTCTCCCTATTTCATTCCTCTTTTAAAGAAAAAAAGAAAAACCTAGAAAGGAAGAAGGAATGAAGTTTTTTTTGGCTGAAAAAATAATGTAACTTTTCATTGTTTTTCCCACCTTCGTTTATTCACTTTCCTTCATTACTGTACGGTAGCAGAAGAAATACTGATGGACCACTAAAGCAACAAAACAACAACAGAGCAACTACAAATAACAGCATTAAAGCATTAACATAACAGATATTTGCTGACGATATGTAACTAAACAAAAAAAAAAAAAAAAAAAAAAAAAAAAAAA